TTATTTATTTACTTATTTTTATTTTTGGCTATGTTGAGTCTTCGTTTCTGTGCGAGGGCTTTTCTCTAGTTGTGGCAAGCGGGGGCCACTCTTCATCGCGGTGCACAGGCCTCTCACTATCGCGGCCTCTCTTGTTGCAGAGCACAGGCTCCAGACGCCCAGGCTCAGTAGTTGTGGCTCACGGGCCCAGTTGCTCCGCGGCATGTGGGATCTTCCCAGACCAGGGCTTGAACCCGTGTCCCCTGCATTGGCAGGTGGACTCTCAACCACTGCGCCACCAGGGAAGCCCCCTAAACCTTATATTTTAAAAAGACAGTTATACAGGGCAGTGCTGGAGGTGGCGGTAGCAGGGATTAAATGGACTAATGCTGAAGGTTCAAGAGTCCTTTATGTCTCTTCTACCTAACTTGAGCTGCCTTCCATTGGCAAGGAATTGGGAGATGGTTAAGGCAAAGGTGAGGACCACATTTTTCCTGCCTTCGAGCTGCTGGCAAGTGAGTAAAACCAGTGCTGACTCCAAGTACAAGAAATAAGCCAGGGGGACTTCCCTGGCGGTCCAGTGCTTAAGACTCCGTGCTTCCACTACGAAAAAAAATAGCTAGGAAAAAGCAGCAGTTCTGAATGGGAACAGCAGGAGGGAAAGCTTTGGGCAGAAAGGGGGAAGGTGAGGGCTGCACATTCCCTAGAGCTTTTCAGCTGTGGGATTCAGGAGCCTTCTCCGAAGGGGCCTGACAAGTTGGAAAGGCAATACCTTTGCGTAATCCATGAGGCAAGCTTCATTAAACAAAGTAGTACTGTCACCAAGATTGTAGGGAGATGGCTGAGCCATCTGCTTGTTGAGACCCTCCTCTGTCCGCTGGGCCATGCTTTCAACCTCTTCACTGCCACGGCCTCTGGGGCACAGGAAAGAGCCTGCTGCTGGGCTCACTGACTCCACGAAGAAGCAGGAAGCCCTTGCCCCTTGGAGGGAATCTTGGTCAACCGAGTGGGCCGGAGGAGGCAGAGGCAGCTGGACCAGAGCAGCCAGAGGGCTGTTTAGGCAGAGCCCCAGTGAATGAGTCATGTGTGTGGAAGGCTGTCGCTACCCCCCAGAGACTGAGGCGAAGGAGAGCAGGCTGACAGGCAGCCCTACCAGGCCCTTTCTCTTCCTCCCTCGGGGGAGCACGTGGGCCCCTCCAGAGTCGCCAGGATGACCTCTGAGGTCGTGTGCCTGCAGCTGGGGGATGTCGAGGGGCCGTAGGGAGGCGGGCCGCTGGCGGGGCAGTGACGCCTCCCCTCCACAGGCCCTGTCTCCCGTCTAGTCTGGCTCGGCACCATGTCTTAGAGGGGAAACCTTCCCACACGAGCCCAAGAGCAGATCTGTGCTAGAGACCCCACTGCGAGGCCCAGTGCCGCCCGGCAAGAGGCCCGGGCCCAGGTGCTCTCCGCCCTGCTGCTTTGGGAGGAGGACAGGTGGCTGACCCTTCCAGTCAAACCTGTCAGGCGCCTTGTCTGCTGAAACTCCTTCCTCTGCCAGTCAGAGCCCCAGGCGGGGCGGGGTAAGAGGGGAGAGCAGTCATCCCTCCGCACCCTGGCTATGGGAGGTGTTTACAAACACTCCTGGAATTCAGGGAGCCGGCCAGGGGTCAGCGGGCCCAGCGCCAACCTTGCCCTCGTCATTGGGCCTACTCCACCCGTTCACCCCCTGTCCCACGTGGCCTGAGGGTCTGTCTACAAAGCTGGAAGAAGACAGCCTCTTGGACTCTGGGCGGTCAGTACGTAGGCCTTCAGGGACAGTGTGCTCCAGCTGGAGAGGGGGAAAAGCCACCCTGAGGCGTGTGGAGGGCGATCAGCCAGCTCCCAAGCACGCCCTGTGCTGGACCTCCTGGCATCTCTCCACCGACAAGTTTCTCATTCCCGCCTCCGGTGAGCCCCACTCCTCTGAGTTAACCCCTGCCCGTGTCCAGTGTCTAGAGAGAAGGATATGGACCAGGATTTCTCTGAGGTGGCGAGGCTGCCCTGTCCTCCCCCAACCTCTCACTTCCGCTTTAACCACGGAGCCTATCTGTGTCTGACAGAGACCCAAACACATGAGGTCACCAGGGGATCCTATTTTCTCCTCCCCTCTCACACCCGCCCCTGTCCTCATATCCTTCCCATGAGTGGAGGGGATGCTCCGTGTCATACTCAGCCTGTGGGGCTGTCCTTCTGGATTTCACTCCCGGCTCTGTCTCCCCCGGGGAACTGTGTGTGTGTGGGAGAGGAGGTGAGGCTGGAGGTGAAAAAGTTTACTCCTAGGATCTGTTTGGATGGCAGATCTCTGACTTTGTCTGGCTGGGAGGCAGTGGAGCTGTGGACAGGCAGGGCAGCCAAGAGGGGAGTATGGTACAGCCTTATTTATTGTAGCATCAACTTAGAATAGTCACCAAGGATGGGTCAGGGGTGGGGCAGAATGGGGCTGGAGGCAGACAGTCTCCAGGTGAAAACGAGGGCGGGTGTCTGGCTGTGACCTACCGCGCTATTGGTTGCTGGGCTGCTTCTGGTCATACCTTGCCTTAGGACCTGATCACACCACTGTTCAAAGTCCTCTGGAGGCGGGCTCACCTGGTCCAGAACTCTGTATACACACCATGGCCTGGTGTCCATGGTCTGCGTGATCTGGCCCGGTCTACCTGGGCTGCCTTATCTCCACCACCTACCCCTGACTCCTGATGTATCCCATCGTCTAGCCCCACTGGGGTACTCTGACCTCCACACTTCTGCTCTAGCTGTTCTGTTCTCTCCTGAAAGGCTCTTCCTCCACGGCCCCTTCTCTGCCTTGCAAATCTGGCATATCCTTCAGGGCCCAGCTCAATGCCATGTCCTTCATAAAAATCCACCTGCTTAAGATGTTAGCTATTTTATAGAGAATGGATACACAACAAGGTCCTACTGTGTAGCACAGGGAACTATACTCAACATCCCATGGTAAACCACAATGGAAAAGAATATAAAAAAAGAATGTACATATATGTATAACTGAGTCACTTTGCTGCGCAGCAGAAATTAACACATTGTAAATCAACTATAGTTCAACTTTTAAAAAATTTAAAAAAAATCCACCAGCTTAGAGAAATTGCTCTATCCTCAAAACACCCAAAGCATTTTATTGGTATAGGACTCCCTTTACAGCATTTGTCAGGGCGTGCCTTGGGACTGGGTCTCATTCAAAGGGTTTTGTGCCCTCGGTCTGTAGCACCTAGCACACGCTGGGCACCAGGTCAGTTCTCAATATATCTTTACAGTAGTGAGTGGAGCCATAAGGTTGAATGAGGTTAACAGATCGTCAAGCAGGGAAATGGCACCAAAACAACAGAGTTCTGCTAGGCTTTCCTGCCGCTTACAGGTCTGGTACCTCCTTTCCTTTCCCCTTCCGATCAATGTTAAACATTTCAAGGCCTGGTAAATAGGCCTTTCCCACACTGCAGCCGCCCTCAGTTGCAAACCTGAGGCATGATGTCTGTCTTGTAATTTCTTACGTGGTAAAAGGAAACTATGTACTCATGGTTGGCTGGGATAACCTGCCAACTCTTCAGTTCCGTAGCACTTCCTGAGTACCCACTGGCTGCCCAGGTTTCTGCTGGGGGTTCTGGAGGAGACAAGTCACCACCCGGTCCTGCCCTGAGGAGGGCTATCAGAAGCCAGACCCTGGAGAAATCTGAGTGAAGCCTTGCGGTGGATAGGACATGGGTTGGCAGAGAGATGGGCAGGACCGCCATGGGCCAGCCAAGTGAGTACATGCCTGAGGTGGGAAGATTATCTGGGCTACAGTTTGTTCAGGAGATAGAAGAGAGTGAGTCAGGGTGGGGTCCAGATAGGAATGCCTTGAGCCATCCAAGACTGGGGTTCTGAGGATCTGGAAGAAGCAAAGGATGCAGCAGAAACACTAGATGGGAGTCAGGACACCTGGGTTCTAGTCCTGGCTCTGTTGCAGGATCTTGAACGAGTCACTTCTCTGCTTCTCTGGGCCTTTCCTTAATTCTAAAACCTAAAAACCTTCAAAGTGACCTTTGCAATCTGATGATCAATAGATATTTGAGTCTTTGACGTAGCATATTGGGGATGAAGGGAATCAGCCACTCTAATGGAAACTGGGAACGAGAAAGTGCCTGACTGGGAGCTCAGAGATAAAGAGCGAGGAGAGACTGCAGAGGGTCCAGCCAGGGAGAAAAGGGGAACTGCGGGGAAGGGCCCCGTTGGGCAATCCCATTTTCAGTTCCTCCTTTCGTCCCCTTCCCTGACTTAGCCTCTTGGCCTCACCTTATTTGGTCAGGGCGGGGCAAAACAGAACACTCCCACGCCGCCTCAGGCGCCCCCTGCCTTTCCCTTCCCCTCAAAAGATCCTCCTCGCTCTTCCCTCACCTGGCACCTCCCCCGAACCCACTTTCCTCCATAGCAACGCCCCTCGCGGCCAAAGTAGGAAGAGCAACGAATTTGGGAACGCATTCATAATCACCCTCGTAGCTACCGTTTATTGGGAACTCACCCTGTGCCAGGTAACATTATTTTTTTATAGCAATTCTATGAGGTGATTGTTATCTCATTTTACAGATAAACTGAGACCCAAAGATATTAAGTAATCTGTTCAAGGCCACACACCTGCCGGTTGGTAAGCCCAGATTGGAAATGAGGTCTGGCTCCCCAGTAGCTACTCTGGCCACTTCCGGTTGGGCCGGGAGACCTTTGGCAGTCGGAGACCCCTGCCCTCACCTACCACCTCTCAGACCCGAATTCTTCAAGCCCCGCCCCTGCCCGCGCCGAGCCCGCCCAGTCCTCGGCGCCCTGGAGCTTCGCCCGGCCTGCGCGGAGGAGGCGGGCCCAGCACCCGCAGGTGGGGCGGGTGGCGGGGCGGGGCCGGGAGGGGCAAGGCATAGAGGGGGCGTGGCCGAAAACCTTAAAGAGGCCGGCGCGGCGGGGCGGGCCGTAGGGGCCGCGCGTCGCGGCGATCTTCTCAGTTTCGCTTGGACCGCAGCGCAGCCACCATGTCCCTGGCGGCCTCAGCGGGCAGGGGCCTGGGGGCCGTGTGGTCCCCAACGCACGTGCAGGTGACGGTGCTCCAGGCTCGGGGCCTGCGGGCCAAGGGCCCCGGGGGCACGAGCGACGCGTACGCAGTGATCCAGGTGGGCAAGGAGAAGTACGCCACCTCCGTGTCGGAGCGCAGCCTGGGCGCGCCCGTGTGGCGGGAGGAGGCCACCTTCGAGCTGCCGCCGCTGCTGTCGGCTGAGGCAGCGCCCGCCGCCGCCGCCACCCTGCAGCTCACCGTGCTGCACCGCGCGCTGCTCGGCCTCGACAAGTTCCTGGGCCGCGCCGAGGTGGACCTGCGGGAGCTGCACCGGGACCAGGGCCACAGGAAGACCCAGTGAGTGCGGGCCGGGGGCGAGGACGCGTGGTCTGGGCGCCGAGACCCTTTTGAGTGTGTCCCCACCAAGGGGACGAACGGAGCGAGGCCTTTCTAGAGGGATCCCCTCGGCCCGTACTAGTATTCTCACCTAGCTTCACCTTCTTGGGCTCTCCCAAGTGTGTGGCTTCGGGTACCTGGAGGGTTTTTGAATCTGCAGGACGGCGCTCGGCGTCTGGAACTTAGTAATCACTTAATGAATTTTTGATGAATTGAAACTACCTGTGGGCTGACGAATTACTCTTATTTAGTTGAGTAGCGTGTATATTTGATGTACGCATTAGCTTCCGTGGAAAGTCTCCTGGGTATTTAATTGTACTGGACACTGAGCTGAGAATGGCTGGGCCAGGGCGCAGGGAGGACCCACTGGAGCAGTGAAAGCCACTGACACTAGGGCCCTAGAGGCTCGCCCAGGGGATGAGCTGGGCGTTACAGTGCGGTGGGGACTGGGGAACGGGGAATGCGGGCTGCCTGGGGAGGGCTATCCCCCAACCCGACCTCACAGCCGCCGAAGGGGTTGGTCAAGAGAATTTGCCCCGCCCTCCTCTCCGCCCCTCCCTCAAGAATGCTAGAACAGTTTGGTCTTCACTTTCAGACCGAAAAATACTAACCGTGTTTGCCCCGGGCCCCAAAGGAGTAAGGATTTCCCATTGATGGCTGGAGCCAGGGCCTGCCCTTGGCCGAGCTGAACTGAAAAGTAAGCATTGTTTCTGTCCGGAGTTTGTCAAGTTCTCTGGTCCTACTGGGTAGGGGGGAGGGGATGGCTGCTCACCTGTAGCCACCGCAGCCCC